TCCAAAAGAAACACCACGTCCCATGTGCCACTCTCCTGTTTGACTCTGTATAATGCAGAGGATCACTCCCTTCAAAGTAATAATACATATCCAAAATCAGAAAGGCCTATTAGTAAGAACAATATTTGGAAATAACATCTTTGAAAATAAAAATTACCCAGAGAAACTAATACAATCCTAAAATGTTTTCATGGTAAGTTACATATGAAAGAAATTTAAAGTACTCATGTCAAATGTAGGCTTCAGGCACAAACTATCAAATCTAATTTAATATTTTAAGAAAGACCAATTTGTTGATGGTTACTTGAGCAAAATAAAAGTGGATGTAAGCTGAGCAGATAAATAGCTTGCAAAGAATTTTATACTAATTTTCCAAATATCAATGGATTAGTATACAAATACCAGTGTATTAGAAACCTCTTCTATAAGAGGGTTTCTTTTCGTTGACTAAAAGCTTTCTTACTGAAAACTTAGAGATACTATTTGAGTCAAGAATCTGATCCAATAGAACAAATTCTACTATTTCAGCAGAAAGGGTCTGAAGTAATTTTGAAGCACCCAGATGTTCATATCCTCTCAGTCTCAGAGATTTGGGGAGCCACAGAAGTTGATGTGAACAGACAGGCAGAATGTGTGATCACAGTGCTATGACCACAGTGACCTGGAGTAAAAGAAACATACTGGCAGGTCTGATTACTTAAAAACTATGTCCAGTATCAGTAACTTCAGCTTGCAGTACATCTGAAAGGCAACTGGTCTTTGCACTCCTCACTTGTGACCCATGATGGTCCTTAAATCAGCCATCCAAGCTGTAACAGTTATTCACAGGCGACTTAGGCTTCGATAAAGTCAGGAGGAGATTAGAGGCATGATGAAGAGCCCCACACCAGGGAAAACTGCCTCTGTGACAACAGGAAGATGATGCTAATTTCATGATGTGTGGCTGGAAGGGCTGTACTGTATTATATTAAAGAACTACTATTGCACTCTACAGATTGTTTTGTATCTTCTTTCATGTAACAAAGGCCACTCTATTTGACAGAATAAGTTTTCATGCAACCAAATTGCATTCTCTAAATAATGAAACAGTGAATTCATTTTTTTTCTTGTTTTAACTTTATGGGCTGTTATAACAACTAGAGAATCTGACTTAAAAATATGGGTCTTGCTATCTCTTGTAAATGATATTATCAGTTACACTGTTACCATGAAGGGCTTACAATATAACAAGGTTTAAATATGATACAGGCTTAAACATAATTTCAAGATTATTAAAGTAATCTTTTGGAAAGAATATTGCTAAACTGAGCTAAAACTCTAAAGCTCTGAGTCATTTTTGCACAGGCATGAACATATGCTGTAGGTAGAATGTAAAATCGTATTTATTCATTATAGATAGATGCCTCTCCCTCTGTGCTTAATCTAAAAAGAATGTAATAAATGTAACAGAATAATTCAATCAATTAAAGTTATTTTATTCAAAAATATTTAACTATTTTAAATAAAGCAAATGAATTTAAAATATTTTAAAATACATAGTAATTTAATAAAATTTAATGTAAAAAACACCAAAAAATTAATTGTCCATATTGGCCTGATTTTCCACTGGGGAATAGTTCAAACGACCCAAGACAGAGGCACGTCATCCACAAGACATGTGGAGGTGAACTCTGATGCAGTGTTTCGCAGAACCACAGTTTACTGCCTTCAGGCACCACACCTTGAAAACCTCTGGCCTTCTACTCTCTTTATACGTTCTCCCTTGTAATTTCCTCTTGACCATCAAGCCTGTAATTTCAGCTGTTTTCAGACTTTTGTGTCTCATAGACAGTGAAATTTAACAAGACGGAAGCACGAGCAGCCAGAATTTCCTTGGCTCAGCTCTTCCCCACAGATCTGCTCCTCCTCTCCACATCTCTGTCTCTGGGTAAGGGTCTCATCACTGCTGAGGGGCCAGGCTGGAGCTCTCAGAGTCATACTGGCTTCTTCCCTTCCCGCCTTCTACTGATGTACTCTGTGCCTCAGTTTCTCCTTGTAAACAGCTTGCAATACCATCTCCACTGCCGGGGCATCTGATTTGCTTGAGGCCTCACCTGCAGCTGGTTCTTACCTTCATGAAACATATCCAATCATGTAATCAATTCTCCTGCGTTGTCACACCTTGTGCAGTAGTTCTCAAAGTATGCTCACTGGTACTCTCTCTGGTGATCAAATTAATGTATAGAATTTAAAAAGATCAACTAAATTATCCTCCACAAAATTTTCTTAAGCACTTAAGATAAACGCTGCCACTCATCTAATAATGAATGCTCTTAATGGTGAAACAAATGAGCATTTAGTAAGTGATTACTAATGGCAAAATCTGGAAAACTCAGATGTGTTTATTTCAATAGCTCTTTATTGAGAAAAACTATGCACAGAATTGTGATTTTTATATTGACTTCTAATTACTTCATTTTTGTCAGGAAAATTATTTCTAGTTTCAGGATGGAATGCTATCACTATTTCATGATGCAAATATCAAGGCTTTGAGGTGCTCTACCACTAAAATAAACTTCAGCACCACTGACCTCCTGTAAACAACAACACGTGTAAATGCAGCCAGAGCTGCCCAGCCAGAAGAAACTACCTTGCATGTCTTCTGCCTCAAATCTTTGGATGTTAAAACAGAGCAAAGTAACCTTTGGATAGGGGACTAAGCAAACTGGTGTCCTAAAAATCTGTTTGCAAAGGTAACAAGAAAGCAGATATTAAGACTGCTGGACTAATGACTACTAGACTGAAAATTAAAACATTGTTTAAAATTAGCATGTTATATGCACCAATAGAAATTCCTCTCTTCTATTGATGTAATTATCCCCCTTCCCTTTCTCATAAATACTCATTGCTTTTGTGTCTTAATCAGAACATGATTTGGGCTTTCACCTGAATAAGAATTCCAGTGTAGCTATCCATACTGACCTCTATAAAGCTTGTTGCCTCTCACTTGGAAAGGCTGTTTTGTCTTTAACACTCCTCAACAAAGTCATACTCCATTTTCATATGCAATGTCCTTCAGAATCACCCTACTTTTCCACTTTCACATCTATCAGCTACTACAACACACCTCTATAAACCAATTATTTTTCTAAGTTTACCTTGCTCTTTCAGGCTTTTTTTTGCCTTAGTACCTATCAGATTGTCTGATGGAAGTTTTCTACCTATTTTTTTGCCTAGCTAATTCTGTCTTTTGCCCACTCCTTTGTTGAGCCCCTTAAATACTTGCTGTCTCCCCTGTGTCTCTACAACAATTTGCAATGCACCGTGTGGATAATCATCACACTGGCAGCAGCCATGTACATGTAGGTGCACTCATTTTTTTTTAAATGTATTGGTTCCTGCCACAGTGATTTTAGTTATCCTTCCCTTAGCCTTTTCACACCTCCCGTTCATTTATTCAACAATTACTTTTTGATCATCTACCATGTGCAACACCCTATTCTGGGGACTGAGAATTCAGAGGAGACCGAAACAAACTAAAACCCCTTTCCTTCTTGCAGGTTAGATGTAAAATATATAGATCCTGATATTTGTTACAAAGGAAAAAAAAATAACAAAACAGAACAGAAAAAAGGACAAAGCAAATGCTGGAAGGAGAGGTGTAACTGTGGTCATAAAAACGGACACCTGAATAAAGACCCGAGGGAGGGGAAAGACTGAGCTCTGTGTCCATCTGGGGGAAAAAGCATCTGCAGGCACAGGAGGGGCAAGTGCAAAGTAGCTGATATAAAGGTGGGTTACCCTGGAAGGCAACATGGCCTTTGTGAGATGGCCCGGAAATAGTGGCAAAATCCTAGGCAAGGGCCAAGCAGTAACAGTTTACTGTCCCTGTAATCTCCTCCTGTTGACCTGACATTTTGGCAACTTTCTCTGAGGAGAAAGTCCAGTTCAAGAACAAGTAAGCTCCTGAGTCTTGTGGACCAAGTTATAGCTGGATTCTTGATGGAAGCTAATGATACAGGCAGTACTAATGCTACTGCTCGTTTTACCTAATTAGTAACAAAGGAAAGAGGGGCAAAGAAAATTAAACATTGAGTTTAATAAACTGGGGAGCATAAAGCCTGTTTGCTTCACCGGGAAGCTACAGCTTCACACCCCAGGGGATTACAGCACTGCTCTGCCAAGGGGATTAACACTCCTCCCTCCCCCCCTTGGATACCGAATGGTGGGGTGTGGGGGTGCAGGTAGAGGTGCTTGACCAAAAAGGCCTATCATTCTAATGAAGGAGTGTAAACTTATCAAATGTTTGTGAAATCTTGGGGAGTTGATTGGTTCCTTTGAAAAACTACCTACCTAGTCCATCCCAAACCCAAGCTAATATAATCCCAGGGGAACCAAGAAGCTTTCTCAGCCTCTCTTTCTTTCTCTAGCCCACGGGTACCATACACACCCTGGACGTTCATGCTCTCTCTCATCCAGGAGCACGTGACCATGTGGGTCCAGCAGCTGTCGGGACCCACAGCAGATGGTGTGGGCTCAAAATGGGCTAAACTTTAGCATGAATCTGTAACTCTGGACACTGGCTTTTGTGTTGCCCCAGTTGAAGACTGAGATTGAACCTTTTTCCATGGTGGGACAAAGGGAGATGGGAAATTAGAAACCCAGGGGCAGCTTCTGTTCCCACCTGAATAAACCTTGCCACGTCACCACCTCTGGTGCATGGATCCTTGGAGTGTTTTCCTCGTCGTCCCATGGAAGAGCCTGATTCCGACCTACAACACCACTGCTCTGGTTTCATAGCTTCATGGTGTGATACAAAAGCTCCTCCCTTAAGTTCATATCTATTAGGCCTTCAATCTTTCAGTTCATTAACTCACTTGAGCACCATTTATTCAAATCTCATTTTTTAAGTACTCACACAGACAGGTACACATTACAAAGATTATTTTAAAGCTGTTCTGGGATCCTTTCCAATAGTTGTCCCACACACGCCCAAACACATTTGTGTCTCCATGTAATGATCAGTACCTATTTTTTAAATGCTTATTTCCAGTATACACAAGCCATTCATAAACCTCATCACTGATGCAGAGCGTGTCATATTTGATGCAAAGGTTAGCAATTACTTGGAGTTCCTCTTTGGTGTACACCTGTACATATTAAACAAACAAGAGCATAGCAATTATTACTCAATGTGTGAGCAAATGCTGGATCAGAAAACTACGTAAGGAGTTTATAAAACTCACTTACTTTGCCAAAGGGGTTATGTGGAGAATTTAGTATAATAGCTTTGGTTTTGGAATTAAATTTACTGGCCAGTTCTTCAGGATCCAATGTCCAGTCAGAACTGGACCACTTTTTCCCATCAATACGTTTCTAAGAATGAAGAATGAAGATGTGATTTAATTAAATTAAATCATGTTTGCTGTTTTATGAATAAATAACTTAATAAATAAAAAATTAGAGAAAAGTGTGGCAAGTATAACTGAATAAATGACTAACAAAAAAATAAACAAAAATAACTAAGCCTTAAGAGCCCAAGAGGACTTGAATCTCATGCTCACACCTATTAAACAGAAAAATGAACTTTGTCAATACTAATAGTTGTTAAGGTGCCTATATTCTTTCAAAGGGGACAGCTATAACCATGGTTAACATGTCTCATACTATAAGACTAGTAGGAAATTCTAGGAGTCACCTTAGTGTATTACTTATTTTAATATGATTTTTAAAAAAAGACAATGGTACTATACTTTATTACATTGCTAAAGGTAACAGTAGAACAAGAAAAAGTCACTTTGTTCAGAACTCAACAAGCATTTACTGAGCACCCAGCATCCCTCTGCACTGGGGAGCAGTGCTATAAACGTGAGTCCGAAGTGGGCTCTACCTGGTGGTGCTGAGTCAGTGGGGGAGACACATGAACACGAAAGACAGTGCTACATGCATGTGGATGCTAATGTAACAGACACACATGGCAAACATGTGATAAAGCAATAAAAGTGCGCCTCTTAACATAGTTATTGACTAACTTCTGTCAAAGTAGAGATAATATATTACATACCAAAATGTAATTAAAGTAGAAATGTTATTGGCAACAAAGTAATTGGTATTTTCAAAATTTCTTAAAGCATGTGAATGGTACTGGCGAACTTACAGATCTTAAAGAAATAAAAACAGGTGTTCCTCCGGCCATTCTCACCATGGGCTCATAGCAGTCATAGAAAGGTACTATCACTATGACCTGAAATAAAACCAAATGAGAACACAACATATCCATCATTGATTCATTTAACAAGACTGTGTAACTACTGTGCATGAGGCACTACTACATGCCAAGGTGCAGAGTGAAAAAAAGCAGGCTTGGCCTTCAGGGAATCTAACGTGGAGTGGAAGACACCCTGGGGATAAACTTATCTGGAGCCTTAATTGGAGTCATTGATCTCTTAGGGAGATTTATAGATAGGCTTGCAGAAGGGACCCTTGGAATTGTATGCAAAGCTTTTTATGTGCATAGGTAGATTTTTTAGGGGGAAAGGGCCACAGCTCTCATCATATTCTCAAAGGGATGTTCCAGCCAAAAACATGGAGTTTATTTAACTTTCAAGTTAGAAAATAAAATACCAAGCCCTGGCTGGCATAGCTCAGTGGATTGAGCGTGGGCTGTGAACCAAAGTGTCGCAGGTTTGATTCCCAGTCAGGGTACATGCCTGGGTTGCAGGCCATGACCCCCAGCAACTGCACATTGATGTTTCTCTCCCTCTCTCTCTCTCTCTCTCTCTCTCTCCCTCCCTTCCTTCCCTTTCTAAAAAATAAATAAATAAAAAATCTTTTAAAAAAAAAGGAAAAAAAAAGAAAATAAAATACCAGAGGGTGACAGAAACCAGGCGATAAAGAGAACACTGCAATGCTCTCTGTTGTGGAGTCCTAATTTATAAGTAACTTCTTGAAATTAAAGATGCTTCTCTTTTCTCAAAAGCATCTTGAAACGGTGGATGCAGGGGGACTGGTTAGGATACCATCGTTATGATCTGGGTACCATATCTTCCCATGACTTATATCTGGATTCTGTCTCTTTCCTAGTCCCTGGAATGCACTCCTGGTCCCTTTGGCCCCTGCATGACCTCTCTCCCAATCACTCATGGGTGGCTTTCAGGTCAGTGAGCCAATCCCACCAGGCCAGCCAGCATCTCTCCCGACAATCTGCCAGCCTGGATCTAGCATCCTGACATTTTTGCTTTTCTATAAGGAGAGCTTGAATACTCACTTTATAACCATTATATACATTCAACTTTTCTTTCTTTTTTTTAAACCCTAGCAATATTTCACAAGGATTTTCATATTATTAGTTTTAGTATTTATTATTTTAATGGCAATTTGAGAGCCTATTGAATTCTAGAATTTTATCATTTGCTTGTATAAATAACAATGCTATGTCTATTTGTAAGTATAGTTTCTCTTTTTTTAAAAATAGTTTGCTGAATAAATTCAGAAGATTGTTTTGCTAGATTAAAGGGTATAAACACCCTTATGGCACTTCCTATATACAGCCAAACTGCTTTTGAAAAAATCTGGCAACAACTATTTATAATTTCACAGGTCAACACAAAGATGTCTTACTAAACTTTATGTTGGTTAAATTAATGGTCCCTAATTATTGTTCTAAATTTGCAGTTTTTACTGTTTCTATTTCCTATGATGTGAAATACCTGTCCAAGTTCTTTTCTCTTTGGCATCAAAAGAGGCCCTTCATTCTTACGCCCCTTTGCTTGTCCTAGTCATTCAGCTTTCATTGCACACCTACTATCTCATGTGCCATGTTGAGGTGGTGTATTGTGGAGGACAAAGATGAACCAGGAAATGATCTTTCCCTCCAGTGGACTGCAAAGTTTTTAATTAGTCTGCGAAAATTCTCAGAAACTAAGATGACCTATCTTTGCAACCCTGGTGAGAAACAGAGTGCCTGATATGGAAGGAGAGCTCAAAGGAAAGGAAACTACATTGGGAGGCAGAACTGAGGTAGAACTGAGAAAAGGTACTTACACACTTCCCTATAATTTCTTCATTGTTACAATGGAAGTAATCCCCTCCCTTTGTGAAGAATAGTTCCTGAACACTCACTATTTTAGGTGCTGGCAGTACAGCAACAAACCAGTTCTGGAACTCACGTTCTACTGAGAGAGACTTATAATACTCAAGAAAATGAGGAAGTAAATTGAATAATTTCAGATAGTATTCAATGTTATAAAGACAGTAAAACAGGTCAACATGCTAGAGGGTAACTTTGTGTGTGGTTTCAAAATATTAGATAAAGTGATCAGGGAAGAAAGGGTTAGAGAAAAGGAGGCAGAGGGTCTGAGCCTCGGCACTCCAACAGGGCACAGAGAAGCAGAAGCAACAAAGGATTAATGATGTCAAGGTCTGAGGTGAAATTTCAACTCTTTTATAGGAGTAAAGGATATTTTTTATATAAAATTATGACTGTACTTTCTTAACATGTTCTCTTTAGCTTATTGTCTAGCATAATACAGGCAATGAGATATAAAACAATATAACTCAAAGTAATAGTGATGTTTTTTTTAATGAAAAAAAGTACAGATAAAGTGCTATGAGAATTCAAAGACAGGAATTAACAATATAGATCATGGTGAGCATTCATCCTTCAGGCCCGGCTTAAGCAACACCTCTCTGGAGCCTGGCAGATCTACATGGCAGAGCTGATCGCTTCCCTTTGTCACCACTACAACTCAGTGCACCGCTACTGACAATCATGCTGCATTCCTCTTAATCTGTTTATAGGTCTGTCTCCTTTACTTGACACAGAGTTCCTTCCGCGTATAAACTGCCTTTTAAAAATCTCCTTTCCCATAGTGCCTAGCATAGAGGAGATCCTTAATACTTTTTGAATAAGTGAAAGAGGTCAGAAAATCCTGAAGCCAGGGGTATTGGAATGATAATGGAAAAGTAGGGGGCAGAGCTGACTGAGCTTGGTGCCAAAGAGGATCTTACATCGCGAGACTAAACAGCAGAAAGCACTCACCCTTCCTATTATACATTCCTCACACTATCCTGCTAATGATACTTGGCTCAAAAGGACAGTGACCAAATACTTGTTGATTGAGTTCAGATTAAAGGTGGTTTTAGCAGTGAAAACTAAGATTAATTTTCCTCATCATTGCTGGCCCCTTCCACCTGCTCTTATCTAAATAAGCTGTAGAAATAAAAAAATAAAGTATGTACAACAAAGATGGATGAATCTCACAGACAACATAAAATCCAGATTCAGGAATACACACCCTATGACTCTGTTATATCAAGTTAAAGAGCAGGTGATAGCAGACAGAAGAGTGAGTACCTCTGGGGGAATATAGACAAAGAGAGGGCAAAGGGGCGAGGAAATGTGTATCTTCATCTCGTTTGTGGTCACATGGGAATAAACTCACACACATGTAAACATTTATTGTACATTTAAGGTTTGTGAACTTTGATGCATATGCACTATACTTCAAAAATAATTAAAAATAAGAGAGCGTAAAATAAGTAAAAGATTCAAAGGCAGGACAAATGATAATGATGAAAACAGGTAAATGATCATGTTAACACACTTACTTCATCCCCCTCATTGATTAACCCTTGAACGGCATTGAAAAGAGACCCATAGGCTCCTACTGTAACGAGGATTTCTTTATTCGGATCGATCTGATTTTCATAAAACTTTTCATATAAGCAAGACAGAGCTTTCACAAGTGATGGATGACCCTGTTGAATAAAACAGAAGAAAAAAACTTGAGTTATGGAACCTACTTCTTTAAAATAATTTAGTTCTAAATGTGCAAGAATTTTTAAAATGCAGGTTTTATGAATACCCAAAGAAGATATGTACTTTTAATTGGCAGTTAATTAAAATTTTTTTCCTACATTCAAAGGTTCCCATATGAATGACTATGAAGACTTGTCAATGACTGAAAACTTCCTATGAAGTGACTGATTTTAGAATACTAAATATCAAATTATTTGTTTTGAATAAAAATTGACTTCAATATCAAATATATTTGTATAGATAGTACATTTTGATAGTAATCAGAGCACATTGACTTTTTGACAGTAATTAAGTCATATTGAATGGAGTTAGATATTTTTCCCAGATAAACTGAGCCAAAAACCTGTATTAACTATGTATCACTTGATTCTGTTGTTCCAGGTTGCAGGAGAGAGGGTTATTCAAACCCATGGACTAAGAAGGGACAAAAGGAAATTCACCAGAGCAATGCACATTAGTGTCAATGTGCTAACAGCAGATGCAAGGGAGAAGTGGAACACTATTCCTATTGACAGCCCAGAGAGCAATAGTCACCCAGGAGAACACTTAAACACGAGGGACCGAGGGGACTGTGTATGCACGAAGTCTGAGGTGTGGGGAAGCCTGACTTCTTGATTAGCCCTTCCTCAGTCTTCTATTCCGTTTTCTTCTGTTCCCTTCTCTCCTTCTCTTTCTTTTCCCTCTCTTTCCCCCTCCTTGTGATTTTAGGTATTAAAGTCAATATTTATTTTTTTTCTATCCAGCATTTACTTTCCTGTTTTGCTTTTGGGGAACCACCCTGATTTTCAGTCACATGTCAATAAGCGTCCAAAGTGCAGGTAATACGCTTTTGTGTGGAAAGTTCCTGTGCTCTGGAGGAACAAACGTGGTTTGGAAGAGGGAGGCTAGTTGGATACACCCCGGGTTTGTGAGGGTAAAAGGGCCTGAGGTTCCTTGTACGTTGTCCACCCCCAGTTCAAATGAAGAAAACCAGGCATTTCTGGGGTGAAAGATGCATTTATTTGTCACCTTTTTTATTCCTTTGAAATTATTGACTAGTATGTGTCAAACCTTCACTGAGTTAAAAATAAACATAAAGCTATAGTACATTTTTTTTCATATTTTGAAATTAGAAGATACCATAATATTAGAGAACCTGGGAATAATTAATAATAGAAGAGGTAATAGAACATAGGCAATAAACTGAAAAACAATAGCGAGAAAAAAGACCACATAAATTCAAGCTCTAAAAAAATACACAGAAATTATGGAAAGAGCAACAGAAGTTTGTCTCTATTCCCAGAAATCCAAAGTTTCCTTTTAATACCAGGCCTAACAAATTCTAGCAAAGGGAGATTTGAAGGCAATTATAATAAACACTAACCATCTTTTCTCAGAATGATAAGGGTCTGTGATTGGAAATATTCTTAATTACAAAACTAATTCATGCTTTATATAGTAATTACACTAGGCAAAGACATGTAGAAAAAATTATGATTTCTCCTCAACCTCACTTTCTTCCCTGTCCCTGAGGTGTAATGTCCTCAGCCTGGTACTAGTTAAATACCATTGCCAGTGCTTATACCAATATATAAGGGGGGACTTCCCAAAAAAGGGAATTTATTTATAAAAAATTATGTATTTATTGTTACATGTTTAAATTTCAGTCACGTTCAAACTACTTTCCATTTGATGCAATACACCTATCAAGACTTTTTCGGGGACTTCTGGCAAGATGAAGGCATAGGTGGACACACCGTACCTCCACACACAACCAAGATTGGAAACAACAACAATTTAGAGGCAGAATAACACCCAGAACTGATAGAAAATTTATCTGAATGGAAGTCGGACAGCCAAGAACTTGAAAGTAGACCCATTTATCCAGACCAGTAGGAGGGGCGGAGACAAGTAGCCAGGTGTGGGTCGCTGGGCGGAGTACAGGCAGAATTGGGCACAGAAGGCAACCGGGAGCACGTAAGGCATCTGGGGAGCGCAAGATCGCAGCAGGGCGGACCCTGAGTATGCAAGCGGCAGCTGGCGGACCCAGTGAGGCGGCGAGTGTGGAGCAGGGCAGAGCACGCAACCAAGGATCCCAGGGAAGGGACTGAACGGAGCTACCGCCATTGTTCCCTCCGCCCCTGCCCTCACATACAACGTCACAATCTAGTGACTGGGGTGCCCAGCCCTGGTGAACACCTAAGGCTCCGCCCCTCACCCTACAGCAGGAGCAACCAGAACCCCCCTCCCCCAAAAAAAAAGGGCTCAAACAGAAGAACAAATCAGTGCCCCAGAACTCATCCTTTTGAGTGACCAAGAGATAGCTAACCTATCAGATGCACAGTTCAAAACACTGGTAATCAGGAAGCTCACAGAATTGGTTGATTTTGGTCACAAATTAGATGAACAAATGCAGGTTACCATAAAAGAAATGAAGGAAAATGCACAGAGAACCAATAGTGAAGGGAAGGAAACTGGGACTCAAAACAATAGAGTGGACCAGAAGGAAGAAAGAAACCACCAAACAGGAAAGAATGGAGAAATAAGAATTACAAAAAATGAGGAGAAGCTTAGGAACCTCCAGGACATCTTTAAAGCGTTCCAACATCCAAATTATAGGGGGTACTAGAAGGGGAAGAGATAGAGCAACAGATTGAAAACGTACTTGAACAAATAATAAAGGAGAAACTTCCCCATTCTGGCACAGGAAAATAGACTTCCAGGAAGTCCAGGAAGCTCAGAGAGTCCCCAAAGAAGCTGGGACCCAAGAAGAAACACACCAAGGCACATCATAATTACATTAGCCAAGGTAAAAAATGAAGGAGAGAATCCTAGAAGCAGCAAGAGATAAGGAGATAGTAACCTACAAAGGAGTTCCCATCAGACTGTCAGCTGATTTCTCAAAAGAGACCTTACAGGCAAGAAGGGGCTGGAAAGAAGTATTCCAAGTCATGAAAGACAAGGACCTATATCCCAGATTACTCTATCCAGCAAAGCTTTCATTTAGAATGGAAGGGCAGATAAAGTGCTTCTCAGATAAGGTCAAGTTAAAGGAGTTCATCATCACCAAGCCCTTATTTTATGAAATGTTAAAGGGACTTATCTAAGAAAAGAAGATTAAAAAAAAACATGTATAGTAAAAGGACAGCAAACTCACAATTAACAATTATTAACAACCACACCTAAAGCAAAACCAAAAGAAACTAAGCAAACAACTAGAACAGGAACAGAACCACAGAAATGGAGATCACATGGAAGGTTAGCAACAAGGGAGTGGGAGGAGGAGAGGGGGAAAAGATACAGAGAATAAGTAGCATAGATTGTAGGTAGGAAATAGACAGGGGGAGGGTAAGAATAGTATGAGAAATGTAGAAGCTGAAGAACTTATAAGCATGACCCATGGACATGAACTAAAGGGGGGGGGGAAAGTGGGTGGGAAAGGGTGTACAGGGTGGAGGGGAGTGAAGGGGGGAAATGGGGACAACTGTAATAGCATAATCAATAAAATATATTTAAAAAAAGGCTTTTTCCCCCACTCCTGAAAATAATTACTGAACTCTTCAATTTTGATGTCTTCTCGTGCTTCTGCTATTTTTTGTTTTACCTCTTCCACAACAGCAAAATCTTTCCCTTTGAGGACTTTTTTCATCCAGGGAAACAAAAAAAAAGTTGCTTGGAGCAAGATCTGGTGAATAGGGAAGGTGGGGTAGAGGGGTCATGCCATTTTTGGTCAAACATTGCCGAACACTCAGCACAGTGTGGGCAGATGTGCTAAAAAATAATCACCTATCATGAAACGGGCAAATAAGTTAAGTCTCAAAAAAAATTCACTGAAGCTGAATGCAGCCTCTCACAACAGCAGCTGGTACACTGATACAGGTGGGTTTCTAGCACACTCACCTAGTGGGGGAAGCCTGTACTATAAGGGGCCCAGCCTCCAGAAGATAATTATGGTTTTTTAGGGGGTCCCTCCTCATACACATACAGTCATATATTTACAAAAACTGGAAAACATGCAAATGAATGGGCACAGTTATGTTCTAATAAAACTTTATTTAAAAAAAATCAGGAGTGCATCAGATTTAGCCACAAGCCATAAATTGACAAACTCTGCTATGAATCAATGAGGGAGAATTGTCATTTTAACAATATTTAGTCTTTTATCCCATGAACATCATACATCACTCCATTTATTTAGGTATTATTTAATTTCTTTCAGAAATGTATTGCAATTTTCAGTGCACAGATTTTACATTTATTTTAAAAGTTCAATTCCAAATACTTCATGGTTTTGGATGTTATTGCAAATGGTATTTAAAAATTTTTTATAGTTTAACCATTTATTTTTAGTATATAGAAATACAATTGAGCCCTGGCTGGTGTGGCTCAGTGGACTGAGTGCTGGCCTGTGAAGCAAGGGGTCACTGGTCCTGTTCCCAGTCAGGGCACATGCTTGGGTTGTGGGCCAGGTCCCCAGTAGGGGACGTGTGAGAGGCAACCACACATTGATGTTTCTCTCCCTCTCTTTCTCCCTCCCTTCCCCTCTAAAAATAAATAAATAAAATCTTAAAAAAAAAGAAATACAATTGATTTTTGGATTATTGCATATTGGCCTTGTATCCTACAACCTTGCTCAATTTACTTAGTAATTTTTTTTTAAGAATCTAGGAAATCTGTGGATATCCTGAACATTTAATCACAGAAGAATGGGAGTTGGGCTGAGGTAGAGTAGAAGAAAGTAACTAGTTGGAAATAAAGGATAATTAAGAGGCAGTGATAAAGCTGCACAAGTGTTAGTGGGAAAGAAACCTGTGTCTCAGGAAGACATCTCCCTCCCCCGCTGCCATTCTCCAACAACAGTATAAAGGAAGGGCCAAAACAGGACTGTGCAGGGGCTAGAAGTGGAGGATGGCGGCTCATCCTAGGGGCCAAGGGAACAGGTAATGTTCCTTGGTTATCAGATTGGTCCCAGGAAAGCCAATTGCACAAAGGTGATAGAAAGTATGTTCACACATAATACAACATCAAGTACAAGCTCATGCCCTACACGGCCCTCCTGTACTTACAAAGCCCCGTGTATACTGATTCAGGCTATCCATAGCTGCAACCTTTGATAATTCTTCCTTCACATACTCAGGTGGGGAGATATCTGGAAGGCCTTGGCCAAGATTCACAACAGAGGGGTCTGCAGCCAACTTGGTAAATTCAATCCTAAGATAAAAAAAATACTAATATTAATAGGCACTATAATTACAACACTACCTTTTTATACTTCATAATTTAATTATAAAGCTGCAAAAATAAGGCCTGCTGTAGTCCAACAGATTAAAAAAAACATGAGTTATCAAACAAAAATTTTACCATCTACAAAATGACTTCACTTAATGAAATGAGAGATGAACAAATAATGCTTCGTACAAATCTCAATTCTGTGACACCCAAATTTTAATCATAGATTTTTTTTCTCAGTCACACCAGCCCTGGTATGTTCTCTAATGGACTGTTAGAGACGGAAGCTAATAGCAAGAGATTCGAAGGTAAGTTCCATGACGGCATCAGCCAAACTTTGTCTTTCCTCTGCCTATTTCCCATGACTAGCACAGGGCTCGGCACATTTGCTCAATGAACAAATCAGAGGATGGATCATTCCATTGGAATGGAAGTTATCCTTCCATTTCCATTTAATGAATGAATTAAAATAAGGTGATTTGTTGATAGACCACAGACAAGGCTAAAAATTCCCCAGTCTGGATAGAACAATGTGCAGGACAAAAAACTCGCCACATGACTACTGCTGGTTCTCAGGTACTCACCACACGTTACTGTCAAGGCCTTCAATTCGTTTGGCATTTTTAAATTTCAAAGACATTCTCTGAAAGGTATAAATATTAAAAGAGTGTTTAAATTTCTTTAATCAAAGTTCAAAAATGCCAGAAAATCATGGGTAACTCTTCACCCTATTGTTGACCTGGAAAAAAAAACCAGCACCATAAATGTAGATGCTAGGCTTCAATAAAAAAATTCTGAAGAGGAATTCATCTCCTACCTACTGTGCCAAGGAATGCTTTTTCTTATAAATTTTAGATGTTTATCTTTCTCACATAAGAACCAAAAATATCATCCTCGTTTTAAAAAAAATAAATCAATTTAAAGACCTGAAATGTACCAAAGAGAATAATAATCATTAAAAAGTTTTAAAACAATATTTTGAGTCTGAATGTCATTTTATGTAAGATTTACTAACAGTTTCTCCTATGGAATACAGGAAGCACTCAACAAATGCTTTTAAAAACCACTTAATAAGGGGTTTCAAATAATGACAGTAATAGTAACAATAATAATAGCTAATATAATTGAATACTAGGCATGTACCAGGCACAGTTCTATGTGTTTTTACATAATTTACTCACATAGTATTCACAACTCCACATATGAGAAAATGAGGTACAGAGAAGAAAAAGATCACATAACTTTACACATCTGCCCAAATTTAGAAAAGCTAGTTACATTTAAACCCAACTGGATACAGCTCAGGATTTGAACCCAGGCAGTCTGATTCGAGAACACATACTCAGGACTATTCATAACAAGACCTTGTAAAAATATTTATTAGAATACTGCTTCTTAAAAAAATTTGTATCCGACATTAGATAAGTTCTACTTAACATTAAGCAGGCTAGGGAACATCACAGAAAAACACTCAAGGTCAAAATTATAGTACAGCATACAATTTTTTAGATTTTTAGATTCTAGAATTAAGTTTATATTATCTTGCAAAAGGATTGAATTAGCTTTGAGTTCATGTTAACAAGCTGCTGGAAATAAAAAATATGATTGGCAGTGTATTTGTAAAGATTACCCTAATAGAATATTAAAGTAATTTTAATTCAATTTGTGGGGAAGATAATGATAATGGTTATTAAATAGATCATTGTTCTCATTCTATTCCCAATAATGAAGCCAAGAAAAATACCTTTTTACTCTCATGTTTTTAATCTTTGAAGCTCCAGTGAGGTAAATCACATGCAAATTCTCCAGAGGTTAATGTGCCTTCCAGAACAGCATTATGATTAAGTACCCACTGGAACATGATGCTATTCTAGAGACTATAATTATAAAACTAAAATGTCCCAGAATGATAGATAGAAAAAGACAGTTTAACAATTGTCCTTTGCCATCTCTAAAAAATGTTTAAAACTTAATGATTCACTCAGTACGTGACTATAAACACAAAGTACAGATTCATATATTAAAAAAGTAAGCACTGTCTGCAGCAGATAATTTTGACATAAAGTCTAATTTTAATTCAACTATTTAGATAATTGAGGGCAAACGCCTTCTCAGAGTTAATTTTCTTTAGAATGTGTGGCGAGAACAGCCTCCTCTCGCTACTCTCCCTACGTCCACTTCTTCCCAACTCCATGCCTCAACTATTGCCATAGTTCAAATATTCCGTTTTCTCTCACTTCCATAGCTCCACATGTGATCACTCATCTACCCAAACTGGTCTTTCCATGCCAATGTTTCTCCACATCTTTTTCATCAGTGCCCCCCACCCAAGGAGATAGTTTAGATGTTTGTTCTAACCATCTCCCCTACTTCCTCACTGAGTATTAAGGAATACGATTTTGTCATATAGAGTTGAACTCTGCATGGTCACAACATTGTAATAGCTAAGGTTTATTTCACCTGTCAGGCACCAATTTTCTCTCCCTTTGGGGCAATAATATCCCTGTGGAGAATACATGCTCTATACTCAGTCTAATCCCTTGTCCCCACTACCCCATCCTTGTACTTAGCCAATAACTCCTATTCCACCTGCCACCTTCAGTTCCCAAATTAGACTTATTTCCTCCAGAAAGCCTTCTCTGACACCCCAAGTCAAGGTTAGGCACTCCTACTATTAAATGGAGTACTTCCCAGGATCTACTACATAACACTGTAACTTTTCTGCTTGTCTGTATCCTTCTTTAGACTGTAAGTTCTATGAGAATTATTGCTAGATTGTTCACTGATGGGGGTATGTATTAATCAGATTTCTCTAGAGAAACAGAATCAACAGGTCTGTCTGGAAAAAGTTCAACCACTGATAATATAACGAGAACAGTTTGTGCAACATTGATGTAACCTGGCAGCCAAGGAGAGCGGACTGGAATATGCATGTGTGAACAATGACAACTTCACTGTACTACTTAATGGGAGTGGTATTTGCTGTTGAGTGATCATGTGTACTGTGTGGCCATCACATTCAAAATGACTGAGTGAGTAGAGCAATGAGTCTGCATCAAATTTAGCATTAAGCTTGAACATTCTTCTGTGGAAACTATTTGGATGATTGCAGAAGGTCACAGCTGTGGGCAACTGGTGATTGGCAGCTTCATCACAACAACATGCACACACATGCATCACGTCTTGTGCAGTTTTTTGGCAAAACATCAAATCACCCAGGTGATTCAGCCCCCCACAGCCAAGATTTGGCATCCTGCAACTTCTGGCTTTTCCCAAAACTAAAATCACCTTTGAAAGGAAGTGATTTCAGATCGTTGATGAGATTCAGGAAAATATGATGGGGCAGCTGATGGTGATTGGGAGAACTGTGTGAGGTCCCAAAGTGCCTACTTTGAAGGGGACTGAGACATTACTGTCCTACATACAATGTTTCTTGTATCTTGCATCTCCTTCAATAAATGTCTCTATTTTTCATATTACATGGCTGGATATCTTCTGGACAAACCTATGGGTTCTGTGTCTCTAGAAAACCAATACTAAGAAATTGGTTTATGCAATTTGTGGGGATTGGCAAGTTCAAAGTCTGCTGAACAGTCTTGCAGGTTGGGGATCCAAAGAGGAGTTGAGGCTGCAGCTTGAGTCTGAAGGGTAACTGCAGGTGGAATTCCTTCTTCCTGGGGGGTGGAGGAGCAGACCTCAGTGTTTTGTGTCTTAAGGCCCTTCAACTGATTGGATCAGGCCCACCACATTATGGAAGGTAATCTGCTTTACTCAAAGTCTGCTGATTTAAATGTTAATTTCCTCTGAAAAATACCTTCACAGAGACATATAACTGGTGTTTGAACAAATCTCTGGGTGCTGTGGCCTAGCTAATTTGACACATAAAATTAACTGTTACAGTGCCATCATAGTCCTATGCCTGCCACATAGCATTTTCAATAAGTATCTAATAAATGAATGAAAAACCCATACATTAGGAGTGAGCTTATGGTGTTCCTTAGCTTCAATTAGGTACTTAGAGTGTCAGTTAGTTTAAGTTAATTCTTGTTTCAGTAACAAAGGACCCCAAGGTTGTGGTGGCTTAAGACCATAAAGATTTATTTCTTTTTTCATGTACACATACACGAAGGTCAGCTGCTGCTCTGTTCCATGTCACTGTCACTCTGACACAGGTTGATGAAATAGCCTCTATCTGCAGTACTGCCAGTTTGATAGCAGAGGGAATAAAATTCTTACATTCTGCTCAGAGGTACACACATTACGTCTACTCACATTTTATTGGCCAAAGCAATTTCATGACTAACCCTGACACCAACATGGCAGAAATGAAGTCTGGAGTTATCATGAGATTGGTAGTTGTGGTGGATTAAACTGTATCTCCTGCAAAATTCATATATTAATGTCTTAACACCAGTATATTAGTACGTGACTCATTTGGACATAGGTTCGTTGCAGTTGTTATAAACTGAGGTCATTAGGGTAGACCCTAACCCAGTGTGACTGATGTCCTTCCAGAAAGGGGAGATTTGGAGACTGACTGGCACACAGGGACAGTGCCCCATGAAGGTGAAGGTGGGGAGCAAGGTGATGCTTCTACAAATCATGTGACACCAAAGATTGCCAGCAAACCACCAGAAGCAAGTGGAGAGGCAAAGAACAGAGTCTTCTTTACATTCCTCAGAAAGAGCCAACTCTGCCCAACACCTTGATCTTGGATGTCTAGCCTCCAAAGCAGTGAGTTAAAAAATTTCTGTTGTTTAAGCCACTTAGTCTGAGATGCTTTGTTAAGGAAGCCTGATGAAGCTAATACAGTGGTAAAAATGTGTAAGACACCCCATAATGTCAAAGACATCAAGATCTACCAGTAGGTGCAAACACAGCCTAAGAATTACTTTCCAGAGTAAATCCAATATTAGGAAATTAAACCTGGAATCCTGTGGGGAATTAATTACGAGCCCCAGCTATATGATAGAATATCCATAAGGCCTGTATAATTTATGGACTAGATAATTCCATGAAGTGGATTCTGTTCCCAGACTAATACCTGGCATATACATACAGTTCTGCCATGTTATAAATACAAAGTGCCAGTGAAACAACAAGCATTTTTGGTGGTGGTGGAGGGGGAGCTGAAACGCGCAGTTCTGTAAAATCAGCACTAGATGCCAATCTTGGCAGACGTGAGGAAACCTTGTTGTTACCAAGTCTTTAACTGTTCGCTGCAATGGTGCTGGAATGAGGAAGCTTGGAATGAAGAAAAAATATTACCTATTCTTTATGACCCGAGCACACTAGAGTTTACCTTATGTATATTTTGAGGGCCCTGCCTATAAAATCTGATGCATTCAGGTAAAATAGAACAGGTGTATGAAGTCTTCTCAAATGGCAGGTTGAAGTTGGGGAAATCAAGGCTGTCCATATCCAGGAAGAAGTGTTGGGAACCGCCCTGACTGGTATTAGAAGCTGAAACCCCCCGCCTAGCTAAGGCTAAGGGAACGCCCTTGGAACCGTGAGCCGGCAAGGAGACAAAAGCTTATCTTCCTGGCAGGAATGCTGTTTCTGCTGCTGAACCCCAAAAAGCTTGGTCGGTTAGCCAAAGACGGGTAAGATTCCCCATGGGGGGAACAACCCAAGCCAGGCACG